CTAAATGGCCAAATTTCCCTTATTTGTTTGGATATGGGGTGTGTGTGTGTAATTTCCTTTTATTCATAAAATATTCTTGTAGTTCACTTGGCTAGAGTATTATATAAGTAAATGAAATTCTTGGTTTTGACTCTCAACTTTAGCAATCCATTTTGTAATTATTTTAGTTTAATATTTTTCACCATTTTGGAGCATATATGCATTATAAAAGTCGGTGCAATTGTAAGATTCAACCCTGTGATCTCCATTGGAATTATAAAGGAATTATAAAACACTTGACCACCATAGCATTTGGTACATGTTGACACTTAATGTTACAAAATTCTATATGTTCTTTTATCAAGTATAATAGATATATTTCCTCATTGTTTTTAAAATGTTTTAAACTAAAACTCAACCATACAATGAGATTATTAAAATAGTCATTTTTCTTTTTTGTTAGATTGAAATTATTAGCAAATTGAATCAAGAAAGTAAATAATTAGACCCATTTTTCGAACTTCAAATTGTTACTCCATAAATATTATTAAATCGATAGATAATATACATCCACACTTACAATTTGAACTACGATATAAGTAATTTTAGTTCACGACATTGGTTATTATTGCAGCCGTCAACGGTTAACGACCGTCCGTGCCCACTCAAAATCCTAAATCCGACATTGTATCTAAACATAAACATATTCTAAGATATGGAGACAAATATAAATTCTGAGCACAGTTCTTTAACTCTAGACAAACACTACACCAAAAAAGGGCTTTTGCAGTGGTCAAAAAATGCTGCAAAATGTCATTTGTAGCGTTTTAGCATGTATTACGAGGGTCGATGTCGCCATTGAGGGAAGAGATACTGCATCATTTATTAACAGTTGCAAAAGTCTTTTTTGCAACGTTCAAAAATTGTTGTAAAAGATGTTTTTACAATGTTTTTTCAGTATTACCGTCAACTTTTTTGCAACGTTTTATGATCATTGTTGTTAACGTTTTTTGTAACGTTTTTCCAACGTTGTCTTTACCTTTGTTTTTAAGTTTTCACAACATTATTACGTTATAGTTGATCTTTTTGCAACATTTTCCAAACGTTATATTGTCTTATCCTTTGGTTTTTATATTTTTTAAAATTAATTCGCATTTTTTATACATGCTTACTACGCTATTGAAAATCCTATTCTTTTGATCCAACAATTCGCAAAATAAATTAACAATTCGCATAATAAACTTTTAAAATGTTCAACACATTCTCTTTTTCAAAATAAAATTAGGAGACTACAAAACATGTACCATTAAAATAAAATGTTCTTTTCACCATGAGAAGCAGTCTTCAACAAAGGAAATCGACTATCACCAGAAAAAAATAGCTTGTCCCTAATTAGATGCAAATTAGATTTAGATACTGATTTGGGTTAAAATTGATAGGGAAATGGTTAACAAGAAGCAAGATGGTCCTGATGGCAAGTGACCCTCTACGATCAAGCCTTTTGATAGGCATGATTCTGTTCTCTGTACTCTCACATGAAGATGATATAGGCTGCCTCTTTGAAATCTTCAGGGATTGGATATCAACTACACAAGACAACATACAAGAATTTAATAAAAAGGTAAAGAGTTCCAAACTTGTTATATGAC